ATATTACTTCAACCATCAGCATCATACGATATGGTTCAATACTATCAAGATTCAAAGTCCTGGGCAATTTCATTAAGAAATACATTTGTAGTTTTAAACAAATATATAATAACATACTAACAGATAATTCTAATTTCATTTCTTAATATGACTTATTAAAAATAACAGTACTGTTTTATCATTGGTACAAAAATAAATAAAAGCAGGAAAAATATGTGATAAATCACAATATATTCAACATTACAATGAACACAGTTGATTAATTTGCAACAGTTACCACATAAATATTTGTATATTGATAAATCTGGTTATTTTTATCATTCTAGAACAATTCAGTAAGATCATTACAACTCTTGTTATGTTCTGAGTTTTCCAACAAAAAAAAGATAATTGGTGATTTTTCACCTAGCTTGAAAGTAGGTTTCACATAAAAAAAAGTCAAATGAAAATTCCAGCTGAAACTTGAATCCTGAACTATACTACTGGAATAATAAATAGTATTAAAAAAAATTAAAACTACATACTCCATGTACACAGACATAACTGCAACATCAGTCTAATTCAGAAACTTCAAATATATCAAATGATATACAATAACAACATATCACTTTCATCTTGATATCAAAATTTGAAACTTACGAATTAGCTTGATTTTAAACACATATTAGTTACATAAGGAAATGCTTTTCTTAGTTTTCTTGAACCAGAAATTATAATTAAGTCCTAAAATATAGTTTACATAGCATCACATATATATTTTTAATGCATTATCAAAAATTGCAAAAAATACACAAAGATTATTGTTTCAAATCAAGAAAACACTTAAGTTTAGGGCACTATTCTATTTTTAACCTAGTGATACTTTATGGGCATTTTTATGAACTTATATTCTCATTATTTTTATTTTTTTGCAAGTCCTAATTATAACAATAATAATACTCAGTTTTTTATAAATCATGGTTTTCACATGTATATAAATCACTACTGATCACCAATTAAACTAAGTTGTTGGATGCACACCAAACTGATATAGAAACAATAATGAATGTTACATACCAACTAAAACATTAACAAACAAACTGATATAGAAACAATAATGAATGTTACATATCAACTAAAACATTAACAAACAAACTGATATAGAAACAATAATGAATGTTACATACCAACTAAAACATTAATAAACAAACTGATATAGAAACAATAATGAATGTTACATACCAAGTAACACAAAAATAAGTCTTCTGCTACCATATAAGTAATTGCTATTTCTTTTATTTAACAATAACTCTAAATGAACTCCAAACTCATACGACTGATTTACACAATTTTTTTGTATATTAACACATGCATTAAAACAACTTATTGTTAGAAATGTCCAATTACTTTATGTTATTTAATTGTAAGGGTTGATAAAGATTCAAACTGATTTGCTAAATAATAGTCCTAAGTACTCTGTCACACTGTCTGAATTAAAATAGCAATAATTCTGAAATACTAATAATGGTGCTCAATTTAAGCCAGTAAGAGTGAAATTTATTACTGGATAAACTACATTAATAAAAATCATGATAAGGGAAACTGATGTCATTGTTTCTGTTCTGTCACCAACAGAATTGATAAATAACTGGTGTAATGTATATTTTACTATTATTTAAAAACTCGTGTGTAAATGGAAAACAAAAACAACAACAATTCTATTTCCTACAGCAATCATAATCAATTCAGGCAACATTTCATCACACTGAAGATAATTATTCCCTAAACTACACTCTAAACTATCTATGGAAGTATTGTTATATTATTACTAACCTCACTTGTACCTTAAATCATGTTACACAGAAAACACATTTCATCAAATACTTTTTTCTGTCCAATTATTTAATATGCACATTTTAATACTATGTAAAGTGTGAATGACTATAAACAATTTCCAAAATAAATGAACATAAAGTTGGAATCATATGTTAAAGATTTGTATCTCTTCTTTTAAGATTTGTTGAAAGGTAAATTATAATGCTAACTTATGAAAAACATTAAAAATTTCTGATCAAACTTTAGTGTACTGTACAGCTTGTAGTATAGCCTTTGTGGCTACATAACAATATATGTCTGTTAGCAAAATATTAGTATTCAGTTGTTTTATAACCCCCAGTAGAATAGTTATTCTTGTATTTGTATTTCAGTAATATAGTAATGATCCCCATTTTCCATACTATGTAATTCGTTGTCAGTTATCTTGTTCCAGTAATATTCCCAGTTTATTAAAAGGTATATGCAAATTTTCAAATCCTGTAACAGCAGAGCAGTTAGTAAACTATACACACACACATTAGCATAACATACCCACACTCCACTGCAGGATTCTAAGGTCCCCTCATGATTCAGAGGCCTCAAGTACCAGTCAAGTGTTTTCATTATCTTAATTACTTCTATAGTTACTAAAGTGTACCAATTTTTTAATTGATTTGTCTGTTGCCATTTTCCAACTCAATTCAATTCTGTTTAAGAGCAACTAGTTTTAATTTAGCTTCTCAGAATCGTTTTTTTTTCTTCCTGTGTTTTATTTGAATTATTTTCATTCTCTGAATTCTCCAATATTCTCTGATTCATATTTTTCTTCCCATTGTTTGTTACTGTTTCCTACACTTAATTCAATTTAACTTTTTTTAAATCTTCGATGTATATTTTTTTCCCATGTTTGTGTTGAAAAAAATAAAAGAGTATTTAGCAGAAAACCTCCACATATTGTTCATTCAGTAAGTGAGAACTGGAAAAAAATAGGATACTTTTCTATAGACATTCAGAAAACAAAACTATAAGTATAAAGGGATATAGGGCAAAAAAATTGGCCAAATTTTTTTGAGTCAAATCTAAAAAATAATACCCAGGTGCACACCCCCAGATTTCCCTTAGATGCATGCAAAGTTTCAGGTCTCCGGGTTCTTTCTTCTTGGAGCTATGGTAGTCACACACACACAGACTCTTTTATTATTATAGAAAAAAATATAAAAAATGATACCCACACGCACACTCTCAGAATCCCCTTAGTAAAGATGCAAAGATTCAGGTCTTTGGGTTCTTTCCTCTTGGAGTTATGGCAGTCACGCACACAGTATGTATTTAAAATTTCTATATAAATTTAAAAAGTGTTGTAGAAAACTGGTTTTGTAGTTCCTGACAAGTTACATTTAACACCAAAAATTATTGCCTCTGAAAGCAGACTGCATCCATAGCTTTATTAAACAGCCATATTAGTTTTTTAAACTTTTAACTGATTTGTTTGTTGTGAAGTACAAAGCTATAAACTGGGCTCTCTCAGTATCTGTGCTGTGCCCATCACAGTCTAAATCTCCAGTCTAAGTATTAGGCCCTCAAGCTTACTACTGATACACTAAGTACTTTTCAGTTTATATACTCCTGTTATATTATGGGTTCCTTGTCAATGACTACAACATTTTTTGTAACATTAGCATAAAATCAATGTAAACTTTTGTTTAGCACATACTGAAAAAATAAATCTTTCAAGTGATGTATTATTACGTATTTGATGTATTATCAAACGTTACAAAGACTACCTTGTATCAGATAGAGTATGCTAATATTGCAAGTTTTTATGTAGAAAAATGTGTAGATGTACTGACATATTTTGTTACATTGTGAAACATACTAAAAAGAATTTCAAAATTACCCCTAAGAAAAGTACAATTTACATGTCATGTTATTCTCTTTCTTACACTGAGTTCCAGATATCATTGGTGAACAGTTAGGTTTAGTTTTTAATAGTCCAACACAAACCACAAAAAGAGCCTAAAAATTACTTTTCAGAATATCTCATTAGGTTTAAATTTATAGTATTAAAGACATATTTCATAAAAAAAGTTTTGTGTAAAAACATCTTATTTTTGCAAAACAAATAAGATGATTTTGTGAAAAAAAAATTCTTTAATTAACAAATGTAGTCATTCAATAAATACTCAACTCATGAAATTAACTTAACATCAGTGAAAAATGTGAAATATACTTCTTGTGCCATCACATGCCAGCCAAATTAAAGCGTGATTTTCAAAAATCGAGAGAGGATGTAATTCTTTAGTGATCAAACATGCAAAAATAAGTATCATTCCCAATAAATATACCCAAATATTTCAGGCTTGATTATAATAAGAAATTTTAAAACAAGTTGCATAAAAATTATAAAAGTCTGCTAAAGAAATCGAATTGGATGGAAGTCTTCTTTTATCAATCTAATCTTCATGTATAATTTCCCCTTGCTTTAAACATGAGCTTCAAGTAATAATGGATGTAATTCCAATACTGAGTGCCACTAACTAGCTTCTAATAAACTCAAATATTATGTCAATTAAGTAAGAAGTAGTATCATCTCATAAAGAGCACAATGTCATACTGCTGCAAGTAAATTTTGAAAAGTGTGCATAATGCAATTCATTGCCAGCACTTATACTATTTTATATTAGAGCTACCAATATTTTCTTTGTCATTGCAAAATCAGCTGAAATATTAATCGGAGTTGATAATCATCTTAAGTCTGATGCTGTCGAACCTAGAAATTTTCCCCTCTACATTAGTGAATAAGCTGTCATTAAGATAACTTTGCATGAATATATTAAAAAGTTAACACATTATTTAGATATTTTAATCTAGGAACTTATTTGCATTTCTAAACATCTCATTAGCTACTAAAAGAAAAACTATTAATGAAACATAAACAAAGGTTTGATAGGATGCTACTGTAACAACTTATGTCTTGTTATGTAAACAAGTATATTTCACCAATTGTTTCACTGCAAACATATACACAAACAAGACACTTGTTAACCATGTGAAATTATAATTTCACCATTTAATAAAAAGTTGAATTCTAGCTTGTTTTCCAAGAGTTCATTCTTTGCTGCACATATTGGTAATACGGAATAATTAATGTACATGTTTTATACCCTGACTTCAAATAACTATATAAAACAACATGAATAACATACATTTCTAAGACTGCCTTTAACTGTTCCAGCTTAGCCTTGTTTTCTTCAATTTCAAGATCAGGTTTTTTATCCAGCTCTGAGAGAAGAAATCTTGCAATATCCAGAATTTCCTGAATTTAAACAAAGATCAAGCTTGAAATATATACAACCGAACATTACACTTTACACGTGTGAGTCATGTATATGAATTAAAAGTACATAATACAATATCTTCCGAAATTACTTGCATAAGGATAAACAAATTTTCTGATTTAAAACAGCACAAATGGAACAATACCAAATGTATACGTAAAATGTCAAAACTTGTATCCATATAAATTTGGTATTGTTCTGTTAGTGTGGTTTTAACCTTCATTGGAACTTACCTTACATCGTATTGTGTATTTACCTGTTATTATAAATCTTTTGACCTTACAGTGTGTTTTCACACATCCTATCATTAACTGGTAAAATCAGGATAGTTAATATTTTTCCCTTTACATGAATAGTCTTATAAAATACAGTCATTAATTTTGTTACTTAACACTTTATTGGTCTTTCTTCAAAATAAAAATAATCATTGCAATAACAAATCACAAAGCACTTACTTGAAGTTGTTTGGGTTTTTTTAGCTTAATGTGGTGATCTTTGTAGCCTCCATACTTTTCAAATATCTCAAAAAACCTAAAAATTAAATAAAGTGTACATTAAAAAAGATTTTTGAAGAGTTATTATTAAAAACCTAAAAAGAAAAAACAAGAAAGTAAATAGATTTTATAAGTTACCTAGGGTGTTTTACTTCCATCTTCATCTTCTGTTTTGGAGTGCGATCTCCATGCCTGATTACTGCTATAACACATCTGAGTTCCATCCTGAAGAATAAAACTAGCACTTAGTTACTTTTTTACTTTATTTAAAAACTTCAAATTTTTCATTTAACTTTTTGGTTACCAGATAAATACCCTGACACACAAACAAGAAATGATTCAAAATTTATATGTTTTAAATTTTCAACTAACTATTCAAGTACTAAAACAGTCTGTGAAGTTCATGTCAAAGATATTAAAATAATGGAATTTGGTTGAAATAACTTATAAGTAAAAAATTTTAGTAATGTTTGTCAAACAATTCCAATAATAGTCTTTATCCAATTGAAATTTATTTTCAAGTCCATATCCTAGTCAATTTAAGTTAAAAAAGAAAGTTTCCAGAAAGAGCAAATTATCAACATAAAAAATCTAAATTGATCCAACTGGTTAATGGTTAAGCTGACACAGACTTAAATAAAAAAAAAAAAAACACCACCAGATTATACACCCACTCCATTTTTTACCACTTTTAATAGTTTCATCATCAAAATAAAAATAGTCTAAATTAGACTCGATGAATTAGAATGTAATGGACAATAAAAAACTTACTTCTTGTAAAAAATCACATTTATAAGTAATATACTAAAAAATTTAATACTCTTATGAAGAGAAAAAAGAAGTGTGTATAATCTATTTGGTAGTTAAACACAGACACCTACATTTTTCCAAACGTGGTTGGAACTATTGGTGGATCGTCTAGCTGAAATGGCATCGACCAAGGAATGTGCAGCTGTGGGGCCAATTCTCTAAGTATCATGTTTCTAACAAGATAATTAAAAAACTATACAATAAATAGCAACACTATGATAATGGCATATAAGTGTTTAAAACAAAAACCGTTATCTCTTTCACATCATAAGACATTCCCTCTTGCTTGAAGGCAAGAAACAAAAAGGAAAATTATCTTCACTCACATCACACTTTCCCAATTTCAACTGCAAGAACAGAGAAATATTCAAAATACAAGCAACTAAATGTCAATGTTTTCAGTTGTCCGTTCCCTTGTATGGGACTCTCACTACAGCCAAGTATGCTTCACATAATGTTATCACAGACAAGGTGGCATGTCCAAGAAGATATCCTTCCCAATGACATCCATCAAAAACTTCATTCTTGTCTTCCTGTAACTAAATTTAACTTTCCCTTTAGAAATCAAAAAGTTCTGTCAATTTACCTTTAGAAAACTGTGAATCTTATTAACCAAATAAATATATGAATCATTAAAAAAAAACTAATGTTAATAAAACAAAAATTATCAGGTCACATAATGTTTTACCAAATTGTCCCATCATTTACAACCATTTATTACCAGTAATAGATGTATCTAGCTAACCAGCTTATACTCATTTTAATAAAAACATTTTTTTCTATTCCAATGGTACAGTTGAAATACAATTCTGAAAACAGAAATATATTCAAAAGTTAAAACTGAGACACACATTCTAAAAGAAAGAGACATCTTTGTTTCACAGTTTGGAATGATCCTTGGAACATTAATGAATACAATAAATAGCCACCTCTTAGGCTGATCTTGGAAATAACTAAACATTTAAGCATAATCCTGTCCTTTCAATACAAATAGTTTTATATTCTCACTATTGGTTCAAAAAAATACACTTTGTTTTGTTGCTGATACAGTTTCTTAATACAGCAGTTCAACTTCAATTTTTTCTTGGCATTAAGCCAATGTGGATCATTTAACTCAAAGGTCACTTTCTTTTATTTTTTTGGTAGATTAAATGTCACCACAGTGAAGATGAAAACAGAAGCTAAAAATTAAAAACTTTTTTAACCAAACAAAAAGGAAAATATATCTTGAACATAAATCATTATATTATTCACTTCTTGTTGAAATAACATGAAACTGCTAATAATCAAAGATAACCTAAGTACACCAGAATACTAAATAGGCTTTTTTAATATTCAAAGATCATAACCAAAATACAAGTCTTTTACCAATGTTTTAACTTATAAGTATGTTTGATTTGTGTTATTAAATTATCAAAGATTTTATTATTTGATCTCAGAAAAAAAAAAATCCAAACTTAAAAGGAAAAGCGAGACAACTCAAGAAAAATAATTCATATTTTTAAATCTTCACTGTATAAATTGGAAAGTGTTAATTTATTTTCTTTTAATTTATTCAACAGTCAAACTAAGCTAAGCTATCACAGTCAAAACAGCATAATCATTTCAAAAAGGAAATAATTTTATAAAAATTGAGCAGTAATACATAAACTCTTTAATACAGTAGTCCCCCTTAGATATGACCGACCTATCTGCCATGATAAAAAAGTTGCATTATTCATAGGATCAATAACCAGATAATGAAGAACGACTGTGTTCAAGCTGTGCCAGTTGCTATTCCCAGATAACATAGTAAACTGGTACAATGTATAATAACAGTTAAATAAAGATAACTTAAAATTGTTTTATTTATGTTTTATGTAAGATAATTTATTCATCAATCACATTTATTTCATGAAGATACATGTACCACATTTTTTAGTACATACATATAAAACATTACAAACTGACACAGAATTTATTTCATAAAAAATTATCCTTTGTTTGTTTTGCACATTTAACAGTCACTTTGAATGTTCACGAGTCTGGCAATTATTATATCAGGAAGCATTTCTTTGTTAGTTTTCAGCACAGTATTTTAGTATCAATTTATAAAATAACGTGTAATAAATGTCCAGAATTCTACATCAGAGAAACCGGAAGAAAATTGAAAACATCCCATACTTGTATTTATTATCATTGCAACTCAAAAAATTCACAATATATCTATACAAAACTCTGTAATTTTAAACAAAGAACCAAACATTGGAAGCTACATATATTGATTTAACAAAACAGCCCCACCCTAAACCAAAATTTCACCTCCAAACTTGGATCACAGCTCGAAAAGGGACCATTCCTCAAATTTGAAAGAACCAGTAAAGAAATAAGAATAAATATGTGAACTAATTTATTGCTAGACTAGCCAATGCCTTATAAGGTAATTCTCTCTGAAGACAAATACAACATAAAATGTAATATGTTACATTAAAACAATTTCAAGTTAACTAAAAATTCTCTAATTTCCACGTTGCATTTATTTTGTACCTTTCGTCACAACTTTGGTCTATATCAACATCCATGTCATGTTTCTATATCAACACTTTGAGCCTTCTTCTTCACAGCAACTTCCTGTTCTCAGCTTGAGACATTTGCAGCTTTTCTGGATGGTTTGAGGCCTTTTATTAGCCATGCTTACCACACAAATTAGTCAAGTCTGTCACTCAACAAACCAGAGTTAATAATCTTCATAACCCACTAGTTAATACTAATCAAGTTACTTAATGTCTAGACCAATGGCTCAAAATCTACTACATTCACTAAAAGAATAAGCCTTAATTCCACGAGCAGGGTGAAGACAAACAACAGTTTCTGATCACCCCTGGTTACCTTTCAGGACCTGAATGTTTTTAAACCAAAATACATACACACATGTACCAAGGAGTTTGATTTGAACACCCCATGGTACCAAGATACATATACTAAGCTGTGAAGCAATCTCCAGTAATGTGACCTCTTTGTTCCTCACTGTATACACCATATTCATGATGTGTCTCTATAAATTTCATTACTGATATGAAGAAAATTCATTTTTCAACCTTTCACCCAAAAATCATGGTCGTATATCTCATCTGTCAGGAAGTCATTCGTGGGAGGTCAGATCAATGTAAAATCATTCAGTGCACAGAAAAAAAGTTGTATCTAAAAGGAAGTTCTTATTGGGAGGGGTTGTATACACCAGGGACTACTGTAATGCTTTAAATTTAATAAAAACTAGTTCTATTTCATAGTTTAATATATTCTTTACCACCTCTCAATCAAAATAGGGGAATATTAATCTCAATGCAGATACAATATTCAATAATAATTTTCAAACTCACATCAGTAGTATTACATTTGTATACTTATAATTTTAATTCTACTTCACAGTATTAATTTGAAAGATCTGGAAGAGTTAATAAAAATATTATTATAGTAAGGATGGATAAGTAAAAAAAGTATAACTTTCATGATATTCAATTGTATTTTATATATTAAATGATAAAACTGACTTTTTGAAATCTGAAAAAACATTCTACAGAAACAAGAGTATTTATTTATATGTTTCAAAATAACAAAATATTCAGTAACATTTTGAACAATAAAACTTATCAAGAAACTAGTAGCATAAGTATGCTCCTATGGCCTCTGCATTTGAAGGGGGGGGGGGGGTCCAAAGACAAAAGAGGGCTCAAAAAACCTGATAAACGTAAGAATTGCCAACAAAGAAAATAAATGTGGAACAACCAATTACTTTTTATGCAGGACGGCCCATCTTTTGTAGTTACTTCACTACAAGAAACTAAGTTGTATTATATAGTTTTTGCAACAAAAAGAATTAATTTATACATGTTCATGTATTCTATGTTCAGCAATAACATAAATGAACACAAGAATTGATTAGACATAGATTAAAGGTTTGGATACTACCACATGATAGATTTTTCTGTAATGTCATGATAATTTCTGTTTTATAACTGGTGAACTTCTGAAAGTAATTTTAGATAAACACACAAATGTAAACTATATATTTGAAATAATGTAGTTTGAACAGTTTACTAGGTCAGCTGACTGAATTATGTAAGCCTTCATTGCACAGTAAAAGGGAATTTAAATAGTACTTTCCAAACACAATTCAGTCATTCAAACTATATGAAAATAACTCCGTATTTAGCAAATACCTCAATTATTAGTATGTGCAATTAAATGTGTAAAAAATTTATGACTTCTGAATACATACCCTAATATCTTTGCACAGTCATCATAATATTTCATAGAATTCTTGACAAAACTGAATCCATTTACATCACACACATAGGACTTGCCATTTGTTCTTAAGAAATCAAACCCACAAACTGTTTGCTGAAAGAAATCAATTACTACACATTATAAAGCATAACTGAAAAAGAATGTTCTAAAGAATTAACAGCTCATTCAAATATCCTAACATAAATATGAAAAAACTATCGAACTACTGTAAAGAATGTGTTGTATTTATATATTCAAAATACAAGCCAAACATTTGAGTTCAGAGAAGTAGTTTATTCTTTATACTTTTGTCTGTTTCTATTTTGAATTAGTTTCATATTATTTATAATGGAAGGCTACAAAGGATTATATGTTCTACCTCCACATTCAACCTCGTACTAGGGGTTTTGGTCTTATTAGTTAAATGGTCTGATGGTAAGTTAAAAATATTTTTACTGTAATAATTAAACCTGTAAATTACTTTTTTAAGATACTGTGATCTTAATAATAACAGAGATAAATGATAAGAGTGTTTTTTTACTTTTTTTGCCTCCTAATTTATGATGCACACAAAACATGTCATTTTCAGTGTCAAAGCTTGCTTTAAAATCATAATATAAAATTTTCCTTATTCTTATGATATTGTAACATTGTACAACCTACAAAAACAATGTTAATGGAATATTAAAAATTATTCCTTTGGCAATTAGGCATTAAACATAAGTTTAAAATCTTTTAAGTCTCTCTAAATAATTTTTTAAAAATATTTTCTTGTTTGTTTATTGTTAAGCACAAAGCTACACAGTGTCCACCAAGGGTATCAAAACCCAGTTTTTAGCAATAAAAGCCTTATACATGCACTCATATCTTTTGTATGTGTTTGTGTCAACTAAATTTAAAATTGTTGTGTATAAACAGATAAATACACACAATAGAAACTGTCCAGAGATAATCAAAGCAAAACAAAAACTTGATTTTTTTATCATCAAACATTGGTTTTTCAAATTGAGTAGATAATGATTATAATTTTACTAATGATATTATCAGTATAAAATAATATTTGTTACAATTAAAAGTCTGTACATATCTCAAACTACTGAAAAAAATTCTCTAGTCTAAGAGAAGCATATCATATATCTACCAAAAAAACCAAACTTTAAGGAAAACTTTTCTTTGTCACCAAAAACCCTTCAGTATTTCAAGGTAAGTTAATAATCATTCTATTACAAATTGGATTTTTTATTTCACATATCAATCATTAATATATGCTCAGAACTTTGGAAGAAAGCATAAAATTTCTTAGTAGACAGAAGGTCAAACTGACATTTTAATAATACTTTAAATGCCACATAACAATCTAAAAATTCCTTGTTTTACTAACGGTTTAAGTGTTAATTGGAAAACAAAACCAAGTCCAGTAAGAAATCTACACAGATAAATAGTTCTTAATCTGGATATTTATCACTATACTTGAAAAAATTTACAAAGATATCTAAACTATTTTACTTGTTTTTATATATGATATTAAAAATTGCTTTTTAGAATTCTGTTATTCTAAAAAACATCTGAAAATAAGGATTAATTAGAATACATTAATGTTACACTTCAGCAGCTCATACCAGCAACACACTAAACACTGAAACCATAGTTTGAAAAATTTACAACAGGAGTGAGCAGTAAGAGTTACAATACTGAAAAGAAGAGACAAAACCTCAGTTACTTACAAACCAAACTTTTGGTTTACTTAATTTTAAGCATTACTGTGCTAGTCTACTCACTATCTCAAACAATGTATTTCATAATGTACTGGGGAATAACACTGAATTGTATTCCTACGTAGTGTTCTGTTGGTTTCTGTACTGAACAGAGTTTGAAATATTGACTTCCCTCCCAATTAGAAAAACAGATTATTCATACGTTTTAGTCATGCTATTAAACTAAGCTTATTTTAAAGACTATGTCGGTTGTATCCCAGCCAGCCTGATGTGCCCTGGTACTGAGAGAAAGGCCACATCCAATCAGGATATAGCAGATTTAGTACGGTTCACATATTTCACTTTTAAGTTCTTAGAATTGCTAACAGTTTTCTCTCACTGATTCTGTGGTTTCTTGACCCATTCTGGGACCAAGAAGACTAACTTAATAGTTGATCATTTCTTCTGAATGACAGTAAAGTTAATTCAAATACAAAATTATCAAATATAAATAATATTGTGTTATTAATCTTTAACTTAAAAATCTAATTTATAAATGAATGGAATAAAATGTATAACAATTACAATTCACTTACTTAATCTAGTTCACACCATAACAGTCATTGTTCAAGAAAGTTCATAATATAAACAGTTCTGACCATTACAACACCTGCTGTATTTTAGTTAGTCTGATAAGCCCTTGTACCAAGGAAAGGAACACATCACCACTGGATACGGCATATTAAGTGTGGTTGACATATTATATTGCATTTTTCTTTAATTCATTCATAAGTTCTTAGAACATCAATGTAGCTTGCTTTAAATTTATATAATATGCAGAGATTAAAAGTCAGAATACTCTTATTGAAAGAAAGAGAGACAAAGAATTAAAGAAATTTGTAACATCAAAAACAGCTAACTTAATAGCGTAAGTTGACACCAATGGACACGAGAAAAGGATACTTAAAAATGAAGGAAATATTGATAAATTTTTTATATATGTTTAACCAATAAGTTATATTGAGTATCAGACTAGACAATTACGTGATGAATCACAAGACTCCTTTTTGTTTTATGAAAGGCAGAGACAGCTAGATATCACAGCCTCTGAAATCAGAAGGTAAGTAAAAATCTCTTATTCTTCTCTGTTTTCCAATAGATTCCCCATGGCTCCAAAAAACTGATCTTCTGACTCATTTCAACACTTCGGACAGAGAAAACTTGTTTTTCTCCACTATTCATTATGTATATAAATTAACTACATATAGCTTACACAGAATATAAAAAAAGGTCAATAATTTTAAGCAGTAGCTTAAAACATAAAAAAAAAATTATGTAACTCAAGAATTCAGATTGTTCTTGGTATAAGGAATTTGACATCTAAATCTCATGGACATTTTTAAGTTTGAAAGCGATACAAAGTACAATTTGGTACAATGAAATCAAAATCAGAAAAGGGGAAAGAACTTTTACATAAAAAATGATCAATGACAAAAAGATGTTTTTATTATTTAAAATATTATAGGACACCCTTCCTCTGACAATTTTAAATTTTGATGAAATGTAATCTGTATGAAAGTCTTAACCCTGTGACTACTGGTGCCATTTTTAAATTCTTTTCTGCACATGTCATAAAGCGTTACTGAGTTACATTCAAAATTTAATCAAAGTATTTTATTATCAATGTATTTTAATAAAATTAGCATTACCATGTACATTATAACTCAAAGCCTTATATTATTTAAGTTTTAATTCATTTATTTCATAAAAAACTGCTAAAACAATAATTAAAAACTACAGGTTTGCTCTCACTTGAAGTACAAGCAGCTATAACAACTGGACTTTTGACTTTATACACAAGAATTGACTATGGTTAAAAAGTTTTTCTTGCTGGCAATAAACTACACATACACAGCGTGGTCACAAGCAAATAGACACCACCATTTTAGAAAAAAT